TGAGTTAAGAGGTTTGAAATTCTTCTATTTGTTAACGACATGCGTGATATTTTTTTTCTGTATAGGTCTAAATAAAAACAAAGATTTTAATTGATAATGTTCATTGGAATCAGTCTCACAGTGTTACAAATTTAAATAACTGGAATATTAATAACATAAATTATATAACATTAAATAACATTATAACATTAAATAACTGGAATAATTTGGTTAATCTGGGAAATGATGCCGTAATACAAGATATAGGACAATAATAAAAATAGAACATATTGAATAATACGAAATTATACTTGAATATTGTTAGTCATTGGCAAGAAAATGTTAAATGTGAAATTTAAAAGGTCATTCTACAGTACTTACAATGGTCATACTACATGAGGTTAACATTGAACAGATTGGTACCACTAAGATTTAGAATAATGTAGAAAAGTTTAAAAATTAAATTAAAAATTTGTGCTAATAAGATCAAGTGACTCACCATATAAAAATGTACAGATAACATTTTTACGAAGAGAGTGAATGATCTTTCTAATCTACCAATTAAATAAAAAAACAGTTGAGCGAAGAAATAATTGCCCTAGTAAACCGAATAGTTGCAGCCTAAAAAGCATGCACTTTTCAATGGTTACCAGCCCACGCAGACCTTCGGCAATGTGCTAGCTAATGACCTAGCCAAATAAACCCGAAACTCCCCTCAACTCTCCAATAACCTAACCCTTACTGAGGCTGATGCAATAGTTAGACGTAAACTTATCACCCACCTAAGAGCAATTATCATAGCCAAGACACCTCAAAGAATGAAAATATCCACTTTGAGTCTCTTTTTAATCTTCCTGCTTTACTTTCTTTTCTTAAATAACTATTTTTGCCTGAATATAAAGTTTTTATGTAAATAATAAATAAAGTAAAATTGATGTTTCTTATAATTTTGATAATAAATATTGCTAGACAAATGTTACTATATATTTTATTAAGAAATGCTTTATTTTTTTATTATAATCACTTACAACTTTTTATTATACAGTATAGAACCCGTTATCCGGAAATCAGAAAACCGGAAAACCAAAAAACCGGAACGAAATTCGATAAATTTTCCCGCCATTTTAAAAAAAAAATTTTTTTTCCTCATAAGATTTTAGGATTTTTCGTTCTTTTTTGAAAGATGTTTACCTTACCATCATTTTGGAAATAATCATTAGTGTATTACTCCATCGTTTTTTCTTCTTTTTAAGAATATTTCCAAAAAAAATTTTTTTTTAGTTGGGTTTAACAATAAAAAAACGGCTTTTTGTAGCGATTCAGAAAACCGGAAAAATCAGTTATCCGGAATAGCGATGGTCCCGATCGTTCCGGATAATCGGTTCCCTACTGTAATATGAAAATTTTGCAAAATTGAAATGAGTATTTGCCTTTTAAAAACTTTATTTATATGCATTTACGCTAAAATTATCTCCTTCTTGCTAAAAAAATTTCTATGGCTAAATTATATTATCAGGCAGATTTAAATATAACTTAATTATATATTAAATATTTCAACTATAACTCAAAACTAGTTAAATTAAATTCTCATATGTCATCACTCTGTCTCGATGAAATTTTGCTTTTCAATAATACCTACAAAAATTTATAATCACCCTACACCTCCGAATTTCCTAAGGACAACCACAATTATTTTTGGAATGCCCTCCAAAAATGAAAACGTTAAGTTCGAATATTAATCTTTATGCGAGAAAAAAAAATTAAAAGCCACATCGTTATTTTCCAAAACGCTAATGAGGCAGGCGAGACTGAAAATATTAAAACCTTTTTGATAGCCTCATAGCTAAAAATTTCTGCACGATTATCAAACAATCACACTTATTTTGATGTTTTTTCTTTTATTTAACCTTTCCCACTAATTATTCAACATAATTTGAAAATTTTAGTTTCTTCCTAGCTTAATAGTTACTCAGCCTTCATCATCAGATAATAACGGCAATATAGGTATATACTAAGTTTCAGTCTTTCTAGTGTTAATTTTGTAACAAAACAACACTTTTAACAAAAAAACTGATACATTTAAAAAATAGTTTTCTTTCAAATAAAAGTGAAAAACTATTCGCGTTGATTTCTCGCTCGGATGGTGATACCGAAAAGAAAAAGTGTTTACTTTTCTTTGGCTTTAAGACCTTTATGCCTCGTTTGTTCAAAAAAAATAAAATAATAACTCTGAGAAAAGAACGGAAGAATTTTACGGTTTAAGAGTTCTTTACCCCATTTATTTTTAACGTCAAATAAGAAAAGGTCTCTGTTACTGTCAAGAGATTTCAAGGTAAGTCGGTATTAAAATACTGCGAATAATACTGTGAGAAAAAAAAGGGATCAGCATTGAAGGTAACAATATGTTCGAAACATTTTGCATCAGTTCGGGCTTTAGGTAAGCGAAGATTTTGAAACACTTTCTTTTTTTATTTGGCTCCACTTCTTTAAAACGTTGGAAATAAAAATAAAAAGTATTAGCGAAATACTAACAATGTTGAAAGGTTTGAATATATCTGTTCTTAAATTTGGAAGAGCTTTTTACAGTATAGAATCGGTGTTAATACATAAATTGAGGGCTCAATTTTATATGGATGGTGAATTTTGAAATGTTTTCAGTGTAATGCTCTGAAATCTTTTTTCCTATTAATGTTGATTTCCAAATACACTGTTGTAAGAAAGAAAGAGAATTTGCGGATTGGGTCGATTATCTCTAGAACTACTGGACCGATTTTTATGAAATTTGATGTGTACAAAACGAATAAAAATTCAACAATTGTAATACACACGCATGATCATACGTTGACACTCGTTGGAGTCGGAAGGTATGAAACAGCGGTTGCATAATAAACAAGAAAAATTGGTTAATAGAGGTTATGGTCCCCTCTTAGAGGTATACAACCCTTGCAGCGTGTATTCCATACTTGGAATAAGAAAGTTTGTCATTTCCTGTGGCAGTTTGGCCTGAATTGTCCTGTGTCAATTTCATATCTTCCAACTCCAACGAGTGCTACGCACGATCATGCAGGTGTATTACAATTGTTGAATTTTCATTTGTTTTGTATTGTATCACTGTATGTACATATCAAATTTCATTAAAATATTTCCAGTAGTTCGACAGATAATAGAACAAGTCTGCAAATTTTCTTAATTTTTTACTGCAGTGTATATGCATACGAAATGTTCATGAAACATTTTTTGAATGCAAAGTACAGTGCGCAAAATAAAAAACAAGGACCACCTTGCTAAAAACGGACCTATTTACATTATAAAATATTTCATAATATATCTATTAGTTAAAGCATTGTGTTTTTGGCCATTATACGATGTCAAGTGGGGAATAAAAGATATCACAGTGAATAACTCTTGATCTAATAATCAGATCTTCACATTCCAGAGCTTAATCTTAATGGTTGAAACTTAGATGAAATTTCACTAGGGAATTAAAACGAATGGTTGAGAACAATGGCTTAGCTAGGGGTGGATATAGTTCTTAGAACGCAGCATCTAATAGGCGCCAAATTCAAAAAATATTTTAGCAGTAAATGAATCACTTTATCGGGAAACCGTAACCGTAAGCAAAAGCTCTCTAGTTAATGGCGCTACCGTAAATATGTGTTCGGGTCGTGGCAGCATGCTTAGTTAACAGCGGAAGTAGTAATATTATTTCCATTAGAAAGTGGAAACAAATAAACAAAAAGTGGTTTGGACAAGAAAATCATATAAAAGAGGGATAAAAATTGATGTATCAGGATAAGAGCTTCAAAGTGCGCAAGAAAAAGAAATTAATTTAAAACAGACTTTAAATAAGAGAGAATGGGATACTAGAAAGGTTATTAACTAGATTATGATGAGCTTTTTTAAGATATGCCCAGAAGTCCAGATCAGTATCTGAAGAACATTGTTGAATGATTTTAGTAAAAGAAAGCTCAAACCTATGATTAGAATTCTATCTTTATAGGACGATGGAAGGCGGTTTATTACTTTCTTTCTTTTACACTCCTCTGACGTAAAATATCCTTACTGGTAGACGGATCATGGATTAGAGTCCAGTTGTCGTAGCGCTAACCGAGGGAGGTTTTCGTGGTTTTAATTCCCATGTAGCGCAAATGAAAGTTAGTTACATCAAAAAATTCCTGCATGAAGGCTAGTTTGCCTAATGTTGGATCCAAAAGTACCCTGATCTTTTGGATTTGGTTTAAAATTAAAAGGCACTGGAGTTGAATATTATCAGTCGTAAACCCAGAAACAGGTTCGGCTGTTTAACGACGGTTATAATGTAGATTAAAACATACGGTTTGGGAGTCGTGGTGGTTCAGGGGATAGAGCGTTCTTCTCACAATGAGGTAAGGGTTTCAAATTCCAGCAATTTTGCGCCTGGCTCGCATCGACCACATTGCTGACGTAAACTATCCTCAGTGGTAGGCAGATAATGGGCTAAAGTCCCCTAGCCGTTAGGCTAAATATGGGAGGTTTTTGTGGTTTTTCTCCCAATGTAACGTTAGTTTCTCCAAAAAATGCTCCACTAGGGCAAATTTCTTCCAATACTTCTTCCAGGAGTTCCCTTGTCTTGGGTTCAAAATTTCAAGGCTACGTTGACAGTTGTAAACTCAGAAATGGGTTGTCTGTCCAACGCCAGTTATAAAATAAAATATACGATTGGGTGAGCCATGGTGGCTCAGGGGGTGGCATAGAGTGTTACCCTCAGGTTCACCTCAAGTCCCTGCGGTGGCTTGTTGAGCGAATTTTGCTCCTGTCTCGCACTGACAATAATGTTGACGTAAATTATTTGCTATGGTAGATCATGGGTTAGAGTCTCCTTGCCATAAAGCTAACATTGAGAGGTTTTCGCTGTTTTCCTTACCACGTAACTCAAAGGCTGGTTAGATTCATCAAAAAATTCCTCCAGAAAGGTTAGTTTGTCCCAATGCTTGATTCAGAAGTTCCTTTTTCTTCTGTTCTGGGTTCAGAATTACAAGGCTATGGATGTGATTATAGATAGTCGTGAACTCAGAATTGGGCCAGCTGCTGAACGTTGGGTATACAATTAAATAAAATATACAATGTGATAACTGGCCCAGATAAATGTAGAGTTTTGAAAGTTGAAGAAATTAAGTTTATTTATCGTTGAGAAGACGACTCTAAACTCAAATTGCTGAGATTTTAAATAAATTCCGAAAACTTAATTCTTTTTAAAAGTAATTTTGAAAACACGTGATTAGAAGTCGCATTACATCATTCTTAAAACAGCTTATGAAATTGTCTATGATCTCACATCCCTTAAAACAATTAAATACTGAAACGCATGATATTTTTCTTGATGAATATATAATGATGTCGGTATTTATGTGTTTTTTTTCTTCTTTTTAAATTTTATACTAATTTTGAACAAGCTTCATTTTCTCAAACTGAAAAAAGAAAAGAATCAAAACATGATTATCTTCGAATCTCATAAGAATGAATTCGCTAATGCGCTTGCAAAATTTAAAAGCAGAAATTTATTCCCTGTTTAGTTGATTGAGTACCATTTCTCTAAAAGAATTCGCACTAATGATTCCGTAACATTTAACTTCACTTACTATTTTTGCCAATATATTCATCAAAACAGAAAATATTCGGTTTGGAAATTCCCCCCTCAATTAGGCACCGAAGTTAACAAAATAATCGACTCTTAGTCTTTTAAAAATAAAAATTTCGTTCGAAATGATTTGCATTGATAATCGTCGCCCAGAACAATATTATTCGACACTTGAATAGTCCATGCGCTAATGATGATTCGGTCCTCGAAGAATTAAAAAAAAAAGAAATTCCGGGAAATGTATAAAATGGAAATTTTATCTTAAATATAGAAATTTTGAAGAATATGAGATTGTGTCTAATGAGTTTTCAATGTAAATGTAGTCCAACCCGTTGCATTATTTTGAAGAATGTTCTGTGTGTTGCTTGGCTTTAATGAGTTTGTTTTTTGGTTTTAAAAGAGGAATGATGAGTTTAATTTCTTAAAATAATTATTTTTAAAAAAGTAATTTGGTTGATTTGTTATCGCAAGAATTTTTATTTTTAAATTGTATCCCAAAGAATATGGTATTTGTCTTCAATTGATTAGCAAGGATTACTAATTAAATCTAATTACTCTTGGAAAATAACAGTTTCGTGCCAATATTACGCTTAATTTACAATTTTAGAACTCGTCAAAAATTTAGTATAAAAAGCATTCACATTAGGGGTTAGAAGTTGAGCACTCTCGACATTTATAACAATAACTTTATATTATTTCATAACCGGTGTTAAGCAGCCGACCCATTTCCAGTTTACGGTTTTTAACGTTCAACTCTGTGTCCTTGTAGCTTTAAACCCTTCCCAGAAGACAAGGAAACTTCTGGATCGAGCATTGGGATAGACTAGACTGGTGTAATCTTCGATTGATAGAACTAGCCCACATTTGCGCTACATGTGAAAAGGAAATCAAGCTCAAAGAAGCGTTGCATGTAAAGGAAAGCCGACGACCCATGAAAGGGATTCCAACCCATGATTCTTTAAGCACGATACGTCAGCACGGGTGTCGGTGCGAGCCTAGACCAGAAATCGTATCGACCAGCCATCACTGTGTCCACACCTGCGTCACCTAATTAGAAGGCGAATGTTCCATTCCCCTAACCTGATGGTGAGATTTAAATCATCACAACCTGTTATTAGGGGCCTGGACCCATGTGTAAGAGGTCGTGGGTTAGATCCCCGCCGGCAGAAGACTTTCCATGTGGTGACTGATGCACGTTAAATCTGTCGAGTAACAAAGTCATCCATGTTTCCATAACAAGTCATACCATTGGGGGTACTGATCCAGTAGTTTCCTTATCTTCTGGATTGGTTCCAAAAAAAAAAAACTGTTATTAGACAATCAAACTCTTTTTGTTGCTTTTCATTTCGCCGTTTTCGCTAGCGATTCGTCAGTTTTTTGTCATCTGATATAAATATTAGTTAGTGAAACCTAGTTAGTATTCTTATTTTGTGGCAAGATTTCTAAAAATACATATGTAGTATACCATCTAATACATATCTACGATTACGCAATTCCTTGCAGTTGAACTATAGAATAAAATGCTTATGATTTCTAACGTGATTTTTTTTCTGCAAAGATTATGCGATTATGTGACTTATTAATGTAACATCCCATTGATCGAAACTCTTATCTAAATGTAATAAGAATATTTTTCCTTCATATATCACATGGTTTTAATCATTTGTTCATACATTTCGTCTTTCGTTATAAAAACAAAGCAGCCAAGTTTGTTAACTCGTAAGAACATAACCAGATTCTGGTTTACACAAGTTACGGCTTACTGATAACCCACATAGGTGTATCAAATACGAAAATATCGCGATCATTAAGGAAATAACATATCGAATACAATGATATCCTAATTAATACCATTAAATATAAGTATCAGACAGGATACAATAATGTTATCAATAATGTGTGATATCTAAAAGTATCGCAACAGTTCGCGAATGTTATACTCAACGATAATTATTGAATTATTATTTTGAGTATTGATATAGTTTCTTTGGGTAAAGAAAATCCTTATGAATGCAAAGATTATGCATGTCTTGTTCAAATTATCAATCGTTAATAAAATACTTTTTATTCATCCACTTTATTCGGGGATATAGAACTGTTAGTTATGATACGGTCTTTGTTATCGCTTGTCTTCCGCCTATTGATTTTATTATCTTAAATAATCTTGAACTAAAGGAGAAGATAAAAGACAACGATTGTCTAACCCTGGACGGGAAGCTTCCTATTTCATGTTTGCCCCACCCAGCATGCAGGAAACCTGTTATAATTATTCCATATGTAAATAATGTTTTTCAGGAATGTAAAACTATCTGCTTTACGGATGGTAGTAAGCTTGATGGAAGGGTTTGTCTTGCTTTTGTAATTTATGAAAATGGAACAGAGAAGGTTTCTGCCAAGCACCGACTACATAATGAATGTACTGTTTTCCCGGCTGAACTTTTGTGTATAAACCTGGTTGTTACGTGGATACAAAATTCTTTTAGTGAAAACCAAATTTTTAAATATCTCATTTGTACAGATTCTCTTTCTTCACTTTTTCTTTTGCGTGACACGACTTCTACTGAGAAGCTTGTGGTGGAAATTCACTCGATTTTGAACGCTCTTGAAAACGTAACTATTCATTTTTCTTACGTTCGTGGCCATAGCGGTATTTTGGGCAATGAAAGAGCAGACCAATTGGCTAGGGAAGCTACGTGTGGTGAAATAGACTTAAGGGTGTCTGTTCCAGCTTCTCACTGGAAGCGCATCGCTAGAGATAAAATCATTGCGGACTGGAATGCTGAATTTCTTGCTTCGCCTCGGTCGCTTTGGACGAAAAGGTTCTTTCCATCCATTTTTCACCGTTTGCAATGTAAATTCTTTGCAACTGATTTTAAATTGACCCAAATTTTAACAAACCATGGAAATTTTAAGAGATATTTATTTCGTTTCCATCTGCAGACCAGTGGAATTTGTGCTTGCGGTGATGCTGATGAAGATGCTGAACATATTCTTCTTCACTGTAGTCTCTATGCGAGTGCCCGAATGAATTTAAAGACTGATTTGAGACGTCTTTCTATTTGTTGGCCACCTGTCTTATCAGAACTGGTCAAAAGTATTGAAAGTCTTGCGGCCTTGCGGAATTTTGTTTTTAATGTAAATTTGTAAATTTTTCTTCTTTTTGTTTTCTACTTACAACTGTAAGCCTTATACTTTCTACTTATAACTGTCAAATACTTATTTTTTAACTTGTAATGGACGGCACTTGATGTTAATACAGTTTTTTCAAATATTAATTCATTAAATAAATTTTATTTATTTATTTTAGTTTTGTATGAGAGAAAAAAATTTTAATTATTCAATAAAAAGTAACCAAAATGAAAATTTTCTTTGTTGACCTATGCAGGAATTGACCTTAATTTTTTTTAATTTATTTAGCTTCTTTGTTTACATTTATTGTTGTGCCTAAAGCATCTGAATTTGCAATTTTTGCCAATTTATCAAATTCGATGTATTTTATGTTGACTAACTTTAGTGTCATAGATAAATTCAAAGAAAGTATGTAAAGATTCTAACTGAACTCGTTGTAGAAGGAAATGAATAAAAGCAGCTATTTCGTAAGTCACGAGGGAACGTAAAGTAAATACAGAATCAGTTCGTAAATAAATAAAGAGTTTATGAAATACAACCGAAACAAGTTATTTATCTTATATCTAGTTCACTATGAAATCGGGCTACATAGATGTATGCAACGGAATAGGAATCGTTTCTCTAGAAATTGATTTCAAGAGCACATGTTCGTAAATTGAAATAATTAAAATCTAAAATAAGACATTTTATTTTCCTTTTGATGTCTTTTTAATTTTTTGTTTCATTATTACAGGAAAAATTTCTTTCTTTCTTTTGAGGTCTAAGTTTCATTCACCGAAACCTTTACACCCGTAAAAAATATTTTAGGAAAATTTCTAACTCTTGACGGTAAATTTGTGGATTTGTTTCTACGAACAAAAGTTTGAACACAAATTTTGTTATTCTTTATTTTAAATCATTGCAAATAATGACAATTCCATATAATTTGTAACAGTGTTTTTTTGCAGTAAGTGTTCCATAATGTATTATTTTTTTTTCCTTTTTTGAAATCCCTGAATATAATTCTTTAAAAAAAATTTTTTTTTTTTGCTTGGTTCGTTTTTTAAAAATTTATTTGGTATTTATTTTTGAAAAAAAAAATCAAATATCATAGCAAATAATAAATTTAGTTATACAGAGTGCGGCGAAAAAAAAAAGAAATAGGAAAAAGCTATTATATTATAGAATTGAAATTAACTAATTTCTTTTTACTTTTATTTTCATTTTTTATATAATATTTTGTAATATCTATTAGTTAGAGCATTGTTTTTTGTCTTGTATACAATGTCAAATGAAAGAGCTACTATTTTATTTGAGTTGTTTAAGCAGCAACAGCGTGAAATTCCCTTTAGCTGGGGGGGGAGGTGAGACAGATAAAAGGACATATGTCTTATTGCTTACAATAAGTGTTTGGGTCTCTGCATCCCCTCAAAAAGCGGTCATTATGAAAATAATTAAATTTATTCATTATTTAAAACCTACTCTTACTTTTTTTGTTATATTTTGTTCATTTATTTATTTTTCAATAAAGTTAGACTGAAAAGTATTTGTCTGTTTTTTTTTTTNAAAAATTTTTTTTTTTTTTTTTTTTTTTTTTTTTTTTTTTTGCCGCATCCTGCTTAAAAGTTTCACACATTTTTTGAGGGGAGGGGGGAGAAAAGTTTTTAATTTAATTTTAATTTGTCAGGATTTTCTTTTCGCCGCATATCGTATAAATGTCTTAAATGCTTTTTTTGAGGGGAGTGGGTGAAAGTTCTTAAATTAATTTTAATTTGTCAGGAATTTTTTTTTTCGCCGCATATCGTGTAAATGTTTTAATGCATTTTTTGAGGGGAGGGGGTGAAAAGTTCTTAAATAAATTTTAATTTGTGAGGAATTTTTTTTCCCGCCGCATATCGTATGAATGTTTTAATGCATTTTTTGAGGGGAGGGGGTGAAAAGTTTTTGAATTAATTTTAATTTGTTAGGAATTTTTTTTTCGCCGCATATCGTATGAATGTTTTAATGCATTTTTTGAGGGCAGTGGGTGAAAAGTTCTTAAATTAATTTTAATTTGTGAGGAATTTTTTTTGCCGCATATCGTATGAATGTTTTAATGCATTTTTTGAGGGGAGTGGGTGAAAAGTTCTTAANTTAAATGCTTTTTTGAGGGGAGGGGGTGAAAAGTTCGTAAATTAATTTCAATTTGTGAGGAATTTTTTTTTTCGCCGCATATCGTATGAACGTTTTAATGAAATTTTTGAGGGGAGGGGGTGAAAAGTTCTTAAATTAATTTTAATTTGTGAGGAATTTTTTTTTCCCGCCGCATATCGTATGAATGTTTAAATGCATTTTTTGAGGGGAGGAGGTGAAAAGTTTTTGAATTAATTTTAATTTGTCAGGAATTTTTTTTTCGCCGCATATCGTATGAATGTTTTAATGCATTTTTTGAGGGGAGTGGGGGAAAAGTTCTTAAATTAATTTTAATTTGTGAGGAATTTTTTTTGCCGCATATCGTATGAATGTTTTAATGCATTTTTTGAGGGGAGGGGGTGAAAAGTTCTTAAATTAATTTTAATTTACTTGGGTTTTACCTTGTACAAATGTTTTAATACAATTTTGGGGAAGTGGTAGAAAATTTCTTTAATTAATTTTAATTACATAAAAAATACTTAGAGTATTCTTATGCAATTAAAATGAATTAACAATTAATTAATAACAGTATTATGCTTGTTCGCTTCTTTAGTCTTAGTGAAACGGTACGGTTGTTTCATAGAAAATGTCAAGTGGCTTTAGAGAAATGTTTGGCAGTTTTTGGTAAAAATGTAAAGCTTTGAGAATAAGAAATCAATCAAAGTGAATTTTCCGAAGAACCAAAAAAAAAAAAAAAAAAAAAAAAAAAAAAAAAAAAAAAAAGAAACACACTTACGCTGGAATAAAAATCAAAATTATTTCAATTTCATTAGAATTAGAGCTTTATTCGTTTTTTCTTGCAAAGGGTCACATTCTTGTCAGTTTTTCTGAATACATTATGATTTCCACATTCACGTTGCTTCTTTCAAAACAAACTAATTTCTTATATTACAAAAATATGGAAACACGAAAAATTTCTCTCTTTTTCAATTTGATATGAATCCCAAAGTATATTCTAGAATATATTTTCCTACAAAAATTAATTTCCTAGTTTCATCTCCAAAATGAATTAACTTTCATTAACGTAAACATTTTCAATGAACTACGTCGTATAATTTGATGCGAGGATATTTTGGTTATTTTACATTCTGAAACATATATTAAACATTGTATTATAGCAGATATGCATAATTTTCTAAATTACTTCGAAATTAAAGGAAAGCATAGTTCTAAAATATCATTGGTGTAATGGATATTGATGTAATAGATATAAAAATTGAAATAGAAATATTTTTATATACTTTAAAAGCAATCTGAGTTATTATTGTACAACATGCTTCATAACCTCCACTCTACATATAGATAATTTTTAAATAAAAGTGTTCACATTAAGTCTCTCAAAGTAATATTTAAAAAGGAAGAAACGAAAGCAACGTTGAGATATATCGAATCATCGATAAGGAAGGCGGGTGAAAAATTGCAAAATCAGTTTTATTACTTTATGAAAAGGTTTCTGATATCTGCTTCATAACCACACTCTGTTTCCTTTAACGAACAAATAAATGTTACTGTTCCCAGCTCCTGCTTCGTAGTAGTAATTCGTTAGATTTCGATAGCGATTTTCTTTCTTTTTTTATTATTAATTTTTTAGTCCTTCTTTGTTTTGTTTCTTATTAATTTTTTTGTTTTGTTTTACATTAATTTGAAAAGTCGATATAATTCTTTATTTTTTTTTAGACTGTTACTTTTGATTTCTCAAAAATAATTTGTTAGATTTTTATGATGTTTCACATTTTTCCTAGCTAATATACAAATTTGAGTTTCCTATTGAGTTCCCACAGTTTCTTATTTCATTTTCTGCTCAGATTCTAAAAGAATATATTGATAGAGCATAAACCAAAGTCAAAATTTTTGATGGTTTTTCATTGATGGACCAACATAATCTTGATGGTAACCATCAATAATTCCATCATGAACCATTATATTTTTGATGGTAACCAACATAAGTCACCTGCAATATTCCTGAGAACCAACAAGAATTTCTCATTATACGATCATGGTAATGTCTTGTTGGAACAGTTATGTACCATCATGGATTGTTGATTCATGAGAAGCAAACCATCATAGTATTAACGCAACCATCATAGTATTAACGTAACATTTGTTTCCATCATGGATGGAAGGAAGTTTGTTGGCATATCAAAAACCATGAACGCATAATGGAAAATGTAGGATGAAGATGACCATCGTATGATGTTGGACCATCATGAATCGCACTGAAACCATCATTAAACCATCAAAATTATTTGATGGGACCATCAAAAATTTTGACTTGGGAAGGAACAGTGTAAGCATAAGGGAGGTATTTAAACATTATACTTAATTTATACTTTTGAATAACATTGACCACTTGTAAAATCATGAAATGTTTGTATGAAAGTAAATTCTGAATATGATTTTTTTAAGTTCTTGTTGTACGAAGTAAATTTTATGTAAATTGTTTCTCTCACAGTGGCATTTGAAAAAAATCATTGTTTTTATAATTCTTAAATTTCAACTGTGTGTATATTTAGGAACATTTACGTAAAAATATTAACTTATGCGAGTGGGTTAAACTAATAGGAATATGAGTAAATTAATATAATATGAGTTAAACTAATATGAATGGTGGAAATACATATTTTATTTTAGTTGATGGCTGTAAAAGTTTTAATTTATAATGTGGTTAGTTTTTTTCATAAAAAGAGAAACTTTTAAAAATTAAAATTAAAAAGATTCAATAAATTTAAATTTAATTCAATTAAAAAAAACACCGCTTAGTCTAAAAAAATATGTATAGTTTATTCAGATAAAATCTTAAGATTAAATAAAATCATTGGAAGGCTTTAAAATAGAAATTTTAACCTCAGAGAAAACTTAAACAAAACTTTATCGCAGAAATTTTAGGCTCATTTAAAATTACATTAATTAATTAGTTCAAACGAATACTTAGCTTGTTATATCTAAAATACTAAAAAAAATTTCATCATTCTTAAATGAAATATTAACAATTTAAACAGAATTTGAAAAAATAGTTTTTGATGTAATTACATTAGAATAAAAGAATTCATTTAAAGTGTACGAACACTAATGCTGGGTAATATCGTAATTTTAATATCGGGGTAATCGCCATTTGGTAATAAATGTACGATTTTTTTCTTCAATTTAACAAATATTCATAAATGTTACATTGGCAGATATTTTTGTTAACTAAATAGAAATATAGCAATACTCAAGAGAATTAGCCTTTACAATTATTACTCTTGTTCGGTTCAACCTTTAACGA